GGCAGGCAGGCAGGCAGACCCACGTTCCCCTGTATTTTCAAACCTGCACTGCTTATATTCACCAGTGGCGAAATGATATTCCCACCCATTAAATGCAGCTTTTAAAAGATTTGTAAGAGCTGATGAGTGACTCATTCTTGGAATTCTGAAAATAAACCTGGGAAGCATGACAAGAAAGGGGGAAGTGAAACACATAGAAATGTTTACACAACAAGGAGAGAAAGCAATAACATCCCTGCCTGGGGAATAATCATCTCAAACAAAAAAAGGGAGGCAGGGGTTCTGATAAAGGAAAAAGGTCCAGTCAAAATGGTTGAGAAGGATCGAAGGGGAAGGGGATTCCAACGCTGGTCGGAGAGACCATTTCTGGTTTGTGTGTGTTTGTGTGTTTTATGTCAAAAGACGCCCTCAGGGGGAGGGGAAGCCTGCCAAAACGTCCCTCAAAGAGGTTCAAAGGGCCTTGAAAAGAAACTTCGAGGCGTCCCTTGGGCATCTGAAAGCCACGACGGGGAGGGCAACGCGCGTGGCCCTGGGTGGGGGCGGAAGTGAGACACACACACACACCCCGTGCGCCTGCCTTCTCCAGGTGAGCTGCCTCCCACCTACCTCTCCCCCGCCACCATTCGTGCAGGAGGGGGAAGGGGAGGAACCTAGAGCTAGGAAGGGGTCCGAAGGGCTCCTCCCCTTGATGCTCTTCGAAGGGGAGCCGGAAAGGCGGGGATCCTGCAGCGCCTGCCTCTTCCCCTTTGGCCCAAGAAAGGCGCGTGGAGGAGAGAAGCGGGGCTTTTGGGGCGCCTCCCGGATCGGGACCTGGACGGAGGTGGGCGATGGATTGGGGGGCAGATGAGGGGGGAGAGATTTGCAAGGGGGGGTGGTTTGAGCTCCCCGCCAGTCTCGGGGGAGGGGAGGCTGCTTCTCCCCGTATTGCTGATGGTGCCCTGTTGTGATTTCCGGTGCTCGACCTGCTTGTAAGGCATTTTTCCTCCCTCTGTCTCTATTTCGGTGGGGATTGAAATGGCCAGTCTTCCTCTCCAGTCTCGGGTGGGGGGTTCTGTACTTGCTTTTGGCTCTGGTTGCACACGCGGGCGCGTGCACACACACTTGGCCCAA